CGACACCAAGACAAAATATATGCATATTAATCCATTTTCACAAGGCCAAATCACTTCTCTACGCGGATTGCCAATAGAACTTGTAACGGAATATCTTGTGGGGTACACACAAACTGATCATGATATGAAAGTACGGATAGCTCAAGCATGGAGCGCTATAAACTCGATGTCCAAAATCTTGAAAGCTCCAAATGTGGAAGCAACAAAGCTACTACTCGGTGGAGCAGACTCGCGGTCACTCACAAAATCGCTCGATGGAAAATACACTAAGATCTTACGCGCTATATACAATATATCCTGGAAGTCACACACAACCAACCGATCGAGTATATTGTATTGGAAACTGCCACGATTTTTCTACAGTCGTCGAAAGTGGACGGTCATTGCCACTCATTGGTGGGTCACGTTTCCCGTCACGAAGAGCCCGCATCGAATTTACTGCTGTGGTCGCCAGATTCTAGGCGCCGTGTTGGCCGTCCCAATATTACCCTGAAATCCCTACTAGTTGAAGACACTGGGCTCGAACCAGTCGAAATGGAAGTGGCGATGCAAGATGGATGCTCGTGGAGGAAAAACTTTGTCTACGCTTCACTGACCGCTATGGGAGTCGGATGAATAAATGAAAAATTAACTAAGGTGGAATTTGGTGCATTTTCATGCTACCGTATTTTCAATTTGTGTCGAGTTGTGTTGTCATTATTTGTACCTATGTTTTCTCTTGGTTCCTGTAGTCTATGAAGGTCTATGCTACGCAAAACTATATTTTACATTTGTAAATGATTTAGTAGACAAATTGATGGTAGACAAAATGGGACATGGGGTAGATTTTTAGTGTAGACGAATTGGGGGTAGGCGAAATGGGTGTATACCAACTAGGGGGTTTGCTATAGACGAAATGGGAATTTCGCAGTAGGCGAAATGGGAGTAGGCCAACCGGACATAAATCATGGTAGCATATGGTTCGTCGGAATGTTATCTATCAGGAGTGAATAATAGAGATTCTTCTATTCTAGAGAATCTCTATTATTCACTCCTGATACTATTTCGCATAGTGAATGCCTATAGTGTATTGTAATTGCTGTAGATATGAATATGCGCAGTTATTAAAAATTAGAAGGCTAGTGGGTAGTGGATGTGTTTACGAGTAGGGGTTTTATCGTAGCGTGAACATCTTGCTGCACCACGAAACCTAGTATATTTATTTTGCATGCCTTTAATATTATCTCAATGAAAAGCAGCAACATGGATAACAATCAAGATTACAAGTTACCGGGTTTTAAATACCGTAAGTGCAATCAGTGTATAGCACATGCCAACTTGAGCAAATTAATAGCGAATTTATAGCCCACCTATCGTACAATCGTTCATTACGATCGTGTATCACTCTCAGAGCACCCTGATAAATAGGACGTGTTATAATACGATTTTGCTGTCCTAATATTTGAAAAAAGTCATATTGGTCTATCTGCGGTTCAGCTACATACATATATACGCGCATGCCTGTTTCTCGCTAATCATAAGTTGGTGAGATCTGTAGCTATTTATGTATGTGTGAAATACATCGTTAGCTACCATCTCTAACGATACGCGCGTCTACCCCCGGGGAGGGGGGGCACTCACTCCACATTATGGTAGGTATGTCACGTATGTGCCACTGCGAAGTCAAAAATGATGGGCTCTGGAACTAACTCAGACCTGAAAATGGAGGTCTCTGGAACTAATGTTTGTTGAATGTGGGATGCTCTGGAACTGGCTATGTTAGAAAATGGGGGTCTCCGGAACTAGCATTTCGTTGAAATGCAATGCTATGGAACTGGACACGTTTAAAAGAGGGGGTCTCCGGAACTGTGGGGGAACTGTGGTTTGCTTCTATCACAATCTATGCTGTAGCATTTGAACCAATAATTGTTGCATTATGTACAGGAGAGAAAAACATGACCCAGACAGAGCTGAACGCACGCATACACACACACGCGCGCGCGGAACAGAAATGTTAAAAACGAGGGTCTCCGGAACGGCAAGAATGTAAACTTGTGATGCTCTGGAACGAGATATTCTTAAAAATGCGATGCACTGGAACGGATGTTTAGGGTGAAAAAAAGGGGGGGGGGTCTCTCCCGCGGCACATACCTACCATGCAATATATATGGAGTGCCCCCCCCCGGGGTCTACCAGCTCTAACGATATGCTTGTCTATCGGCTCTACCGATACGCGCGTCCCTATGGCAGGCGAGGTGGGACATAAATGGTATTTAGTGACAGTCACATATTCGAATTAATGTCTATCATATATTCTATTTAGTGATAGTCATTAAATCAACCAATCAGATACAACTTATTTTTTCTCAGCCAATCATAGGCATGGAATTATTGACAAACACTAAATGATTTAATGATAGACACTAAATCATTTAGTGTCTGTCATTAAATCCCCGTTGCTACTAACCTGTATAATACCAGTCGTCATGTTACGTTTGACTGCGTTCGCTACACTGACGCCTGTAAGCG